ACTGTTTACTGTGAAACTGAACAAAGTTGCAGCAAACTGTCTATGGCAGAGAGCCCGATGCTGGATTTTGCCAATGATTGCAGAACCACTGCTCCACCTTATGACAACCCCTAGTTCTGCAGTTACTTTCCCAGAGTCTTTGTTGACCAAGTGCTTTCGCACCATCTGTTATTGCCTGCAAGCTAAGTTAATAGTGCAATATGACATTAACAATTTATATCATGGTAAAAGCTCCTTGGGTCAGCTGGTATATTTTGCTGTATCCTCTACAGCAGCCCCTGTCACAATCATTTTCAGGGAATTTCGGAGGACTACTTTGAGTTGTTTGACTTGGCAAGAATTGGCAACAGCAGCTTGCATGTGACAGAAGGAGGTTTACTCATGCTTTCTAGCAGCACCGCATTCATCTTAATCACTTACGGCTCACTACCTCCTTGTCCCCATCCAAAACAGAGCCTGATATTATACCAGGGCGATGAACGAGGAAGATTAAGGTCTGACAGCACACTTGTATCCCAACTCAATACTGCTATTACACAAAACCCATTGTTAGTCACTAATAGTCCCCATTAATAGCTATTCACCCTCCTAGCCAGATCGTTATCGACTTCTTTGTCTGTTCAACTGTTCTTCTCTCTTTGTGCTCTAGCCCCACCTATTGTTTCCCCCTTGCCCTCTCCCCCGACCCTATCCTCTGTACATGAATAGGAAGGGTTTAGAGGGATGTGGGCCAATTACTGGCAAATGGGACTAGATTAATTTGGGATATCTGGTCGGCATGGACAAGGGTTGGACCAAAGGGTCTGTTTCCATGCTTTGCAACTCTATGACTCTATATAAACTGACATTTTCCTAGCATCAGTTCTGAGGAAGAGTCACTCAACCTGAAACGTTAACTCTAATTTCTGTTCACAGATGCTGACAGACCTGCTGACGTTATCCAGCAATTTCTGTTTTTGTTTCTGATTTACAGCCCCGCAGTTCTTTCGGTTTTTACAATAATGCGGTTATTGGAGATCTGAAGTAAAAACATACAAATGCAGAAGATCTTAAGCAGGGCATACAGCAATGGCAGAGAAAGAGAGAAAAACAGAACTAATGTTCCAGGTCCATAACCTTTCACAAGAACTGAGAGAAGTCAGAGATGTAGTAAACGGTTTTAAGCAAGGGAAAGGGGGAAGGTTCTGGAAGAAGAATAAAGGGAAGCTCTGCGATATGATGCAGGGTAGAAACACAAAATGATTTCATGTTGAAAGGCCAAAGGCAGTGGCAATTCAAACAGGTTAAAAAGAAGAGATGGGTGATTTTTAATGGAGGTAACAGGTTGGCGTCTCTCTGCATTGCCATCCAGCCATGCCTGTGGCTGGGGTACAGTCTGCCACCGCTTCTCCTTCCAATGGTGGGTTGGTTAGCTCAGTTGGCTGGATCTCTCTGTAATGGAACAGCAGCCCTCTGGGATGATGGCAACTTTTATCTTTTAGCAGCTATTCAGTAATTCATGGTGGAGGACGGAGCATGGATAAATCTCAACAGAGACTCCTGTCTTCTATAATAAAGTGGCAGCACAGTGACTCACAGCGCCAGGGACCCAGGTTCAATTCCACCCTCAGGCGACTGTCTGTGTGGAGTTTGCACATTCTCCCTGTGGGTTTCCTCTGGGTGCTCCGGTTTCCTCCCACAGTCGAAAGATGTGCAGGTTAGGGTGGATTGGCCATGCTAAATTGTCCCATAGTGTCCAGAGATGTGTAGATTAGGTGGGTTATAGGGGTTGGGTCTGGATCTTGACTTGATAGAGGTGTACAAAATGATCAGAGGTATAGATAGAGTAGACAGCCAGAGACTTTTTCCTAGGGTGGAGGTAGCTTTTACGAGGGGACATAGTTTTAAAGTGAAAGGAGGTAGATATCGGGGAGATGTCAGAGGTAAGTTTTTTACTCAGAGAGTGGTAGGGGCGTGGAATGCATTGCCGGAGAGGGTAGTGGAGTTGGCCTCATTAGGGGCATTTAAGTGGCTATTAGATAGGCATATGGATGATAGTATAAGGTAGCGGTGGAGGTTAGATAGACCTTAGGTTTCGGGTAAAAGTTCGGCACAACATCGTGGGCTGAAGGGCCTGTACTGTGCTGTTCTATATTCTATGTTCTATGGATCGGATGCTCTGAAGGCCGATGTGGACTTGGTGGGCCAAAGGGCCTGTTTCCACACTGTAGGGATTGTATGACTCTTCGAGGGACAGCTGGTTTGCGATACAGTGACACCAACAGCATGCGATCAATTCTCCTTCTCAACTTTCCCCTCACCTGAGGTGTGGTGACCCTCTGCTGGACCAGTGACCCTCCATGAGGATTGAGGCTCTGGAGTTGGAGGTCTGCGCACTCTGGGCTGCTGACCATTTGAGGGTCAGAGCCTCTCTGTGCCCATCAGTGCCAAGGAGGTATGCTGGCTGTTGATGTACTACACGGGAGAGGCTGATGAGCAGCTGTACATTTCAGGCCAATGGCTGAGTGAAGGTGGTTTGAGTGGAAGGGGTCACTGGATAGATCGGAGGGGGTAAGGGGAAGAGATTAGAAACAAGGCCAAGGTATGGCTTTCAGTGGACGCCACTCAGGCGCTAATTGCTGGAGGAACTTTAATGTAGGGTTTCACTTCAACCGCACAAGCAAATGTTCCAGCCCTGCACAGTGTATCACTGTCTAACTAAAGCTATTGTCACCTGCTTCCTCAATGAAATTGTCTGTTTAAGAGCAGTTCTTGTGAGCTTATGGCATTCAGAGGCTTTTAAAGTTCATTTTAAATTTGTTGTTGCAACTTGAAGCCAGAGGAAATCTTTACCCTGATTTTGTGGAGTGGGTTCAAGGCCAACAGTGATAGTTTGCATTTATATAGAGCTTTCAACATTGTAACATTGTCCACAAGATACTTCCTTGTGTTATCCACGAGCCACATAACTCAAGGAAACTCTAACTACTGCCTTTCAGAGTCATCATCAACAACTACTTGCATTGGTATGGAACCTTTAACAAAGTAAAAGGTCTCAAGCCACTTCATAGGGATAAGCATTTGACACTGAACCACTTCAGGTGAAATTAGGATAGGGTTGGTCAAGGAAATATTTATTGAAAGAGTGTTTTGGAGGAGAGAGAGAGGCAAAAGAGTTGATGGACTTCTAGCACTGGGGCCTGAGATAGCTGAAAGCACAGTCCCCAGTGGTGGAACAGAGGGGAAGAATGGAGCCTCTTTGAGGCCTGTAGAATTGGAGAAGGTGAGATCAATAGGTTCAACCAGATGAGACATTGGTGAATCACCTTAGGTATAGCTAAATTGTACAATTCATCCTCAAGTTCGATTTATTTCCCAATCTGCTTCTGGCAACTTAGTAAGACATGGCACCTCACGTGCAAACAGGCATCCAGTACCTCAGTCCAGGTTTCTCTTTACTCATGCACAGCATAAGTGTGTCACTGGCTAGGCCAGCATTTATTGCCCATCCCTAAGGGCAGTAAAGAGTCAACCACATTGCTGTGGGTCTGGAGTCACATGTAGGCCAGACCAGGTAAGGATGGCAGTTTCCTTCGCTAAAGGACATCAGTGAACCAGATGGACTTTTCCACTGTAATTGGCAATGGATTCGTGGTCATCCTTACTCTTGATTCCAGACTTTCACTGAATTTAAATTCCACTCTCTACTGTAGTGGGATTTGAAACTGGGTCCCTGGAAGATGACCTGAATCATTGGATAACAGTCCAGTAATAGTACCACTAAGCCATTACCATCCCTTAGGTAATAGGTATTAACAGGCAGCTGCTCTGTAGACAGCGACATAATGGTAATCTCACTGGACTAGTAATCCAGAGACAAAAACAAAGTTGCTGGAAAAGTTCTGAGGAAGGGTCACCAGACCTGAAACGCTAATTCTGTTTTCTCCTTCACTGATGCTGCCAGACCTGCTGAGCTTTTCCAGCAACTTTGTTTTTGCTTCTGATTTACAGCATCCACAGTTCTTTTGGTTTTTATTTAGTAATCCGCTGTAGTAAGCGCTGCGACGTGGGTTCAAACTACACCATGGTGGTTGGAGGCATTTAAATTCAATTAATGAAAATGTGGAATGTGATGGTGACCAAGAAAACTATTCATTGTACAACCCATCTGGTTCACTGATGTGCTTTAGAGAGGAAACCTGCTCTCCTCATCTGGTCTGGACGACATGTGACTCTAGGCCCACAGCAATATAGTTAATTCATTTTTTTTACAAAAACTGTTTCATTAACCTATTTTGCTAAGTAACCTGCTCAGAAATGTTATGACACACCTCTGGAGCAGGTGGGACCTGAAACTGGGCCTCTCGGTCCAGTGGTAGGGACACTACCACTGTGCCAGGTTAACCCTCAACTGCCCTCTGATATGACCAAACACACCATTCAGTTCAAAGACAACCATGAATGAGCAATAACGGGCCTTGCTAGTGAAACTCAGGCTCCATAAAAGAGTAGAAGGTTTATGATCAAACTCATACAGTGTGGATTATTCGCAAAGAATGTGGATGCTCCTCAATGCTAGGGGTGCTGAGATCCTGAGAATTCTGCAGCTTCAACCCAAGCGGTGATACAGGCAGAGAGAAAGGTTTTCCCACTTTGGTCTGGGGTACACTCCTCCAGACAGCCTTCAAAAGAAATAGCTGCTCATGACTTGTCTGGCCTTGCTTTCTCCTGCTTTCCTCAGGATGTGGAGAGAGACACAGCAGCAATGAAGGTAGTGTCACTGGCTGCTCACTAATTGCTGAATGGGGTCTTCGGTCTTCATGAAACATTTCAATAACCACAAACTGTGGGGAGGCATAAACACAATGCCTGACTTAGCTATCCAATGAGCCAACCTGAAAAACTTCCTCATTGTGTGGGATTATGACAGGTTCTGTAACTCAGTTCAGGATCTATAGCACTGAGAGTGATGGAATCAATATGCAGCATACTAATCTTTGTGTTTGTTTCTCTACTTTCAGGAAGAAATGTTGCAAGGGTTACAGATTTGTCCTTGGTCAATGCATTCCTGAAGGTACGCTCTGTGCTGTTCACTGATCTACACTGAAGCTCCGTCAGCCGCAATGTTACTTGCCAATTTTTATATTGTATGCCCTGACTGATGAAGGCAAGCATGCTACATATGCCTTCTTGACTACCTTACCCACTTGTATTGCCACTTTCTGCTGTGTCCTCTGGTAATCCTCCCCATTATCTGCAACTCGTCCAATCTTTGGGTCATCCACAAACTTACTACTTAGGCCACGCATATTCTCCTCCAAATCACTCATACATATTACAAACAACAGGGCGCCAACACTGATCCCCATGGAACACCACTGGTCCCAGATCTCTAGTCAGAAAAACACCCTTTCACCACTACTCTCTGTCTTCTATGACTAATCTAGCTCTGTATCCATTTCACCAACTCACCAAAGATCCCATGTGACTTTACCTTTTGTATCAGCCTGCCATGAGGGACCTTGTCAAAGGCCTTGCTGAAGTCCATGTAGACATCTACCACCCTCATCACTCATTCTTGACACTTGCTCAAAAAACTTAAGCATGTTTGTGAGACACAACTTCCCCCACACAGAGACATGCTGCCCCCTAATGCTAATCAGTCCAGATTTTTCCAACTAGGAATAAATCCTATTCCTAAGAATCTTGTCCAAAAATTTCCCTACCACTGATGAAACGCTCACTGGCCTGTAATTTTCCAGAATATTGCTGTTGCCCTAATTAAACAAAGGAACAACGTTGGCTATTCTCCAGTTGTCTGGGACCTCTCCTGTGACTAAAGAGGATACAAATATTTTGCACAAGGACCCAGCAATTTCGGCTTCACCTTCCTCTATTCTGGAATTGATCCCATCAGGTCCTGGGGACTTGCCTAACTTAATGCTTTTTAAAACAGCCAACATCACCTCCTTTTTCATATTGACATCCCCCAGAATAGTGACATACCCCTCTCAAGACTCAACATCCACCATGTCCATTCTCCTTTGTGAACACTGATGCAAAATATTCATTCAGAACCTCACCCACTTCCTCCGGCTCCATGCATAAATTCCCACCTTTGTCATTGAGTAGACCTACCCTTTTCCCAACCACCCTCTTGCTCCTTAACGTTTGTGTAAAACACCTTGGGAATTTCCTTAATCCTGTTTGCCAAAGACATTTCGTGGCCCCTTTCAGTCCTCCCAAAACCTTGTTTGAGTTCTTTCCTGGGAGATAGTAAGAACTGCCGATGCTGGCGTCAGAGATAATGCAGTGTGGAGCTGGAGGAGCACGGCAGACCAGGCAGCATCAGAGGAGTAGAAAAGTTGACGTTTAGGTTCGGGACCCTTCTCCTGAACTGAAACGTCAACTTTCCTGCTCCTCTGATGCTGCCTGGTCCGCTGTGCTCCTCCAGCTCCACATTGTATTATCTCTGAATTCTTTCCTGCTATCTTAGTATACTTTGAGGGCTCTGTCTGTCTTCAAAATAACCAGTTGAAATGAGGCAATATCTCATAGGATGTGGAAATCCATGAATTTCCACATAACGTTATGTGCGTTACAGAGAATTTAGTGTGGAGGAACAGGCCATTTGGCCCAACTTATCTGTACTAATGTCTATGTCCACTTGGACCTCTCCCCATTCCTCTTCCTCTCAGCCTATCACTATCTTCTTCTATTCCTTTCTGCTTTGTAGATGTATTTAGTTTCCCCTTAGACAAAGCACTTCACCTGATGAAGGAGCAGTGCTCCAAAAGCTTGTGATTTCAAATAAACCTGTTGGACTATAACCTGGTGTCATGTGACTCCTGACTTTGTCCACCCCAGTGCAACGCCAGCACCTCCACGTCTAGATTAATCTAACACAGGGAAAGGCTGCAGTCAGTTAATGCAAGTCATTATTGTGACTTTTAAACAATGTGCAATGTTCAAGGTTCGAGTCCAAGTGATGCAGCAAGAAACAGTGGCCATGAAGGTAATAATTATGTGGAAGATTTTAACAATTGGCAGAAATGTTTCAACCTGCACCATATTCCATACTATTTATTGAAGTCAACAGTAAAAGTAATTTCTCCTTACAATGCAATGTTAAGTATTAAATATCAGTATGATCCTGAGCTTCCAGTCACTTGCTACTTTCACCATCCTTCCCACCCTGGCCTCCTCGTCTTCTTGCTGCTATACTGTTCCAGTGGAGCTGGAGGATACTATCTCATCAATCTGTTCTCTGCAAACAAAAGGAATCTGTTCAAGCCTTTTTGGAATTACCTGGGAGCTTGGGGCAACCTGTAGTTCCCCGTTGCTTTCTCTATGGCAATACCCCATCCAATCAGAGTTGAGTTGCTAACAAATTTCTTTTCTCCCACAATATAGGTTGTGGTGATTGTTCGAAATTTGGCATTCTTCTGCCTGCCCTGATAAGAACTAGAACATAAGATCCAGGAGCAGGAGTCGGCCATTCAGCCCCTGGAGCCTGCTCTGCCATTCGATACTATCATGACTGATCTCATCTCGGCCTCAAATCCATTTTCCTACCCACTCCCCATGACCCTTCAACCCATTACTCATTTAAAAACCTTGAAATTTACTCAATGTCCCAGCATCAACTGCACTCTGGGGTGGTGAATTACACAGATTCATGACCCTTTAAAAGAAGTAATTTCTCCTCCCCTCTGTTCTGCCCCTTATCCTAAAACTATGACCTCTTGTTCCAGATTGTTTGACATGAGAAAACATTCTTTCTATGTCTTCTTCATCAATCCTCATTATTGTCTTATATTCTTTAATTAGATTTCCCCTCATTTCTCTGAACTCCAGAGAGTATGAGCCTAAATTGCTCAATCTCTCTTCATCTTCAAACCTCTCATCTCTGGAATCAATCTAGTGACTCTCCTTTGAAGTGCCTCTAATACAATTACATTGTCCTTAAGTAAGGGGATCAAAATTGTACGTAATACTTCAGGTGCAGTCTCACTAACATCTTGTACAGTTGCAGCAACATTTTCCTACTTTCACACTCTATTTCTTTAGCAATAAATGCCACAATTCCATTTGCCTTCCTTATTACCTGCTGTACCTGCAATACTACTTTTCTGTGATTCATGTACGAGGACATCCAGATCCCTCTGCACCGAAGCACTCTGAAGTTTCTCTTTATTTCGATAGTAAATTGTCTTTCTATTCCTCTGCCAAATGGGTAACTTCACCCTTATCCAAATTAAAATCCAATTGCCAAATTTTAACTATTCACCTGACCTTAATGAGTGTAAGACAAAAAGTTTCAGCAATGTGTCTCTCCTTTCAGCAAGGTTCAATTTCTTTTATTCAAACACTGTATTTGTGAAGTGTTTCTTGTAATTGACAACACATGTACATCTTTTATGGTGAAACTGCTCAATTCTTTCCTCCTTGCAGTGAATTCCAGTTAAAGTAGAAAGAGAAACATCTGGCATGGTGTACGTTTAAAACATTGGGCTATTTGTTGTGGTATTTATAGTTCACTAAAAGGATCATACACTTGATTCAAAACTTTTTCGGCTTTTTAATGAGACACTTGTTTTCAGATCTGATGACTTCCAGACAATATTTTCACTCCATATTATTGGCTTCAAATTTACTATGAAAGTCAGAGAACGATTTTCTCAATTGTTAGAATGATCCTTTTCAGAAGCCTTTCGTGACATTGAAAAATCTGACTGATCCAATCCAAATTCCATTGGTCACCACTCTCAGATGTAACAGTCCCCATGGCTCATTCTGAAAGGCCATGCAGTTTTTCTGTCAGACAGGAGGTCCATACAGGGGCCATTGTCAGGAAGCAGGTCTGCACTTGAAGGGAGTGGAAGTATGGAACACCATTTCCCTAGATAGCTCGTGAGGCTGGAGGTCACTTGAAAATGACAAAGTGAGGATTTGTATGAAATGTTAAGGAATCAAGGTGAAGAAACAGGGTTGAGATACAGAACAGCCAAGCTTGTACTGGATGGTGGAACAGGCCTTGCACCCCATTGGCTTATTGACATGTTAGTTTGTTCTGTAGCTCCCACAATGGTCTTCAATGCAGCTAACCAAACCATTGGCATGTCAACTCAAAGAGACGGACCTTCCATGAGAAGTTGTCGGACAAGTGGTGCTTAATAAAATCATAAGCAATTAGGGAATGGAAATGAGATTAGACCATTCAGGCCTTTGATCCTGCTCCTCCTTTGAACAGGATGATGTTGGGAAGTTCTTTGCAAATTGATGTTGACCATATCAGAAATCAAAGGTCAGAAATCATGTAAAACTCGGTGTGAACGATATTCTTAAAATTAAGTGATAATACATTTCTAAACAGCACTAGGGAATCGACACAATAGGCAAGATTTATCTGTGAAAATTGCAGGCATTTCAAAGAGATGTGAAATTAAGCGGTAAGCTAATATGATTTATATTTAATATGATTTCTAAGGTTTTAGAGTAGATTTGTAGCTCGGGTTGTGGATGTTGTGGTTGGTTGGCTCGCTGAGCTGGTTCGTTGTTCCGCAGATGTTTCATTACCCTGCTGGGTAACATCATCAGTGCAGCCTCCGATGAAGCGCTGTTGTGTTTTCCCACCTGTTATTTAAATTCTGGTATCTGTTGAGCTGGATTACCTCACTTCTGGTTTTCCTTCACAATGGAGTGTATATGGGGTCGAGCTCTATGTGTTTATTGACGTTTATTAATATGATTTGTTTAATATGTGTTTAATATGATTAAAGGAGGAAATAAACTGATATTGTCCATGGCCCTCCCAAGTGGGTCATTAGGTTGTGGGTTAATGTCCCACTCCAGAAACATCAGCCCAAAAATCATAATGGACCCACCAGTGGAGTGCTGCATTGTTGGTTGCAGTATCTTTTGGATAAGACAGTACTTCTCAATCCAATCTGCACTTTTTTAAAGAAGTGTGGAGCGGGGTGACTACACTTTAAGAGTTGGCCTATGAAGCAGTTTGGGATGTCCGGAGGATGGGGATGATGCAAATCATTTTTGTCGGTCTATTTTCTCTGG